AAAAAAAAAAAAAAGAAAACCAGAAAAAGATAAATGCCATGCTTTGCAGCGTTTGCACCTTAACAACAAGCCCAGTCAGTCACAAGCTTTCTAGCAAAATCTCCTTCCTTTCCAACCGTCACAAATGATTGCTCCCTCCTTCCCTCCCAAATGTTCATTTTGCTTAATACATACAGCTCCACATGGCACAGGCAGGAGATTTATGAGGTTTGTCATTGCTTCAGACGTTCTGCTCATCGTCTGAAGTTCTGAAGTTTGTCAGGTCACTGCACAGGTCCACTGCAGCTCTTGCTCCACCGTCTGACTCACCTCTCTCTCTCTCTCTCTCTCTCTCTCTCTCTCTCTCTTTGAGAAAAGACATGCATGCCCCACTTGCTGACAGCCAGACCCTCATACACAGACATGCGTTGGTCTCCGGCGGATTATCCATTGGAAAAAAAAGCCCTTACATCGAAGAAACCATACCCCCCCCCTCCCAGGGCCTCCCCTCGCCCACTTACCTCCTTAGATAGCCAGAAAAAGGAAAAACAAGCAAGAATAGATACGATGAGGGAAAAGAAGAAAAGACGGATACGATGTTTTCGTAACAAGGGACCAGAGGATGATCCCTCTCTTCTGCGCGTTGCAAGAGAGACTTCGACGATCTCGTGAAAAATGCGCGGCAGAAAAATATTGAAGCAAAACAAAAAAAAATGAACTACTTCGGAGAATGCACAATCCCATCTACAAATGATGAGTCGCGCCATCCCACAAATCCATGAGGGTAAACACCTAACCTTTCGCTACTGACCGGTATTACACCAAATTACTGACGCTTGCGCGCACGCATAATAATCCTTGTGGTTGCATGCACACAAATTGCATCGATCTCCACTAGCAGTCGGCATCCACTCCTGTGAGCAGAGAATAGCTTTGCAATGACCAGCTGCCTTCCAGGTCCATCCTCCTCTTCCTCATCATCTGCGACTGGTTTCATGCACACAAATTGCATCTATCTCAGCTAGTAGTCGACATCCACTCCTGCGAACAGAGAAATAGCTTTGCAATGCCCAGCGACCTTCCTCCTCTTCGACTTCATCTGCAGCCATCATTCATCAATCGCTTCACCATGCCACGACCTATCACACGAAACGCATCTATGCGTCCTACAGTTTGTGCAGCGACTCTTTTATTATTTGTGGTCGGCCGATGGGCAACCTGCATGCAACTACAAAGGCATCGTCAGAAACAGATATCGTCACAACCCAGTGCACCACGCTCGTTTTTCCCCATCTAATCGCGAAACCCATCTTTCAATAACTGATACGCCTACTTTCTATTTCCCTCCTCTAGACTCTCCGCCGCACATCTCCCGCCGCTTGCCTCCTGCTCTCTCCTGTTGACTCTATGATGCAGAGCTTCCAGGGACCCCCGCAAACTGTACCCAGACACTGTGTTCACGAGTGCGCCCGTCTCATCAATATTGGCTGTACGCGGTCCGCGTCAAGCTCGTTAATCAACACAGGACCAATTCCCATTACCTTCTAAGTTCGAACACAATGGCTACAGGCTCTGATATTCAAGTGCCATCTTGATCTTCAATCGACAAGACAATCTCCGTCACCTTCCTATATTCCGTTACACCGTCTCTCGACCACGATCGGTGTGATCACCAAGCCCTCTTCCTTCAAAATAAAAAAGAGTTCTCACCGTCTCTCGACAAAAGGGTCTCTGAAGAGAGCGCAGGGTCCATGGAGCAGACCTCAAAGACTCTCAGGAGGAATTTGTCTCGGGAGGAGAACAAAAAAATGACAGTGTCAAGGAGGGGCAGGGGGGCATGCAGAAAGGCCCTCAAGAAATGAAGTCCAAGAGAATAGTCCCCAAAAGGGGGTCAAGGAGAGGCATATAAAAAGGCCTCACCCTCCACATATGAGAAGCTGCCGAGAGACAACAAGTCCCAAAAGGAGAGGCATCAAAAAGACCTCACCCTGTGCTTATAAGAAATCGGAGGATCCTCAAAAAGACCTCACCCTCCGCCTATAAGAAATTGGAGGATCCTCAAGGATGGGCCTCATGCGGAAAGGTCTCAAGACAAAGGTCCAAGACAACAAGTCCCAAAAGGAGAGGCATCAAAAAGACCTCACCCTGTGCTTATAAGAAATCGGAGGATCCTCAAAAAGACCTCACCCTCCGCCTATAAGAAATTGGAGGATCCTCAAGGATGGGCCTCATGCGGAAAGGTCTCAAGACAAAGGTCCAAGACAACAAGTCCCAAAAGGAGAGGCATCAAAAAGACCTCACCCTGTGCTTATAAGAAATCGGAGGATCCTCAAAAAGACCTCACCCTCCGCCTATAAGAAATTGGAGGATCCTCAAGGATGGGCCTCATGCGGAAAGGTCTCAAGACAAAGGTCCAAGAGAAAGTCTCAGAAAACGTGTCAAGAGGACGAAACTGTCCACAGGAGGCAACTAAGAGCCTCACCCTCCACCTATGACAAAATCACAAGGTCCTTCTTTCGGAGACTTCCGCCTACAAAAGCATGCACTCCCCTAAATGCAGCAATATGTTTTTTCGTATCAAATGGCCCAGAGCGATCTCCAGATAGCTATTTTTAGAAACAAGCAGTCACCACGACTACAAAGATCAAACGGCACCATGGGGGAAGGATGATAACGACCACTGGAAAGATCATCCCAAGGCCATATTCTTCACGCTAGGCATCCGATACACAGCTTCCCCTTCCCGAGACCTCTCTGACGTTCTCCTGCAGATCGATACAACATGGGGGAAGGATGACAACTCTTGACGCCAAGCATCCGATACACAGCTTCCCCTTCCCGAGGCCTCCCTGACGTTCTCTCGCAGCTCAATACAACGTTCTCCCGCATCTCAATACAACATGGGGGAAGAATGACGACAACCACTGGAAACATCATCCCAATGCCATATTCTTGACGCTAAGCATCCGATACACAGCTTCCCCTTCCCGAGGCCTCTCTAACGTTCTCCTGCAGCTCAGTGCCTTCAGCAACCTCATCTGACGGGCAAACTCCACTGATGATACACAATTCCTCCTGTATACGCTTTAACTGTGCCAGTGCCCCTATGACATCGACGCACATCACAAGCGCCTCTTGTTCGCCCTCCTGTTGTTGCTTGCGATCCATCCTTGTACCTGCTATATCCTTCGCTGCCAAAGACCGATGGTCGCTCCGTTCTCGATGGTCATCGGTTCCCATCCTCGAGATATTCCTCTTCTCAATCTTCTCGGCATTTATATCACAAGGCACTGCTTCCCCTTCTCCGGCAGCTACACTCTGTTGAAATCTGCATCCATCCACTACTGCTTTGCCTTCCAGATCAGCAGGCTTTACCAAACTGGACAGACAGTTGGGATCTTCCTCACTGGATGAGGAGTCCGCTACTCTCACCTCGGAAAGGACACGATGATTCAAGTCCCTCGTTGTCAAACGCGCACTCATGCCCCCGAGAAGAGCAGCCTCCAGCACCTGCACACCCACAAGCGAGCAGGAGTTGGGTCAGATAGTTCTCACATAAGCATGCATATGGGAAGGTTTCAAACCTCCAAAGATTGCTAACAAGAAAAGAGGTTTAACCAAGAACAAGAACATTCATGCATACGACCAAAGGTGATATTCAATGCACATACATATGCATCCGCATGCCCGTACACACACACACACACACACACACACACACACACACACACACACACACACACACAATCAGTTTTATGTGTGCCTGTTTTCCTCTTGTTGTCTGTCCTCCCTCTGATTTTTTCTAAGTAATTTTGCTAACCCAACTGAGCACCCTCAAATAGTGCTAAACAGTCGGTGGTTCCACGTTTGGAGTGCCTACTGCACTCTTAGGGGGGCCTGCTCGGTTCGGGATATCTTTCTTGCCTGTGGGTGATGACGGATGCTCGTCGGGGTGTCTCCCTGGCTCAGTGGGTGGTGGGAACCAACAGTCTGCGGGGTTCAATCATGATGTGAGTAGGTCATGTGCTGCTTTGCTCCGTGTTGGATGTGTGGACGGCCTCGTCCGCGCTCCGCCGCTGCCCTGCTGCCTGTCCCGCTTGCTTCGCATGTGATTCTCTGCAACTTAACGTGTTCGCTGTGCGGTGTGGCCACGTTGTCGCTGTTGCCTTGCGCTTCGCTGCTCCGCTGCCTTGCCGCTCTTCAGCTGGCCGTGTTTCCCGTGTCCTTTGCTTGCACACCTTAGTAGTTCGGTTGCCTTGTTGGTGTTGCCTTGTGCGTCACCACATGGTTGCTGCGCTGCTCGCTCGCTCACCCTGTCATCCCTTGCAGTGTGGTTGCCTTGGTGGTTTTGCCTTGCGCTTCACTTCCTGGTTGCCGCGCTACATGTCCTGCGTGCCGTGTCGTTCCTTACAGTCGTTTTTGGCGTTGAGCAGCTGGGTTACCTCTACTGCGTTGCCTGGTGCTCCGCAGGGTTGCTGCCCGCTGCTATGTTCCCCTTGAGGACAGTCTGCCTTCAACATAGGTCAAACGGTTCATGACCCAAACCATCTAATACAGAGATTCCGCAGTGTGTCGAGGGCTCAGCCTCCTGATGAGTCGGTGCAACTCCGACGAAACAATCTATCATCGGCTTTCATTTTATTTTTTTCGGTTGCTGCTTTTGCCTTGTTGTTGTTTGACTTGCTATTGTTCCCTTGCTGCCTTATGCTGTTTGCCCGCCCATCTGCCTACCCTATGCCTTTCACCGGGTGTGCTTTGTTGCCTTGAGCTGTTAGCCTGCCCATACCATCCAGCCTAGTATGTGCCTTGCTGCCTTGCGCTGTTTGCCTTCCCACCCGCACTGGGTGTGCTTCGCTGCCTTGAGCTGTTTGCCTGCCCATGCCATCCAGCCTACTATGTGCCTTGCTGCCTTACGCTGCTTGTCTGCCCACCCACCTCCCCCATGCCCTCGAGCCTGTCTTTTGGTGCAATGTCTTTTGTGCCTCACTGTTTTGTGGTGTTTGTTTGCCCACCCACCTCGCCGGGTGTGCTTTGTTGCTTGCTGCACTGTCTTTTGTGCCCCACTGTTTTGTGGTGTTTGTTTGCCCACCCACCTTGCCGGGTGTGCTTTCTTGCCTTGAGCTGTTTGCCTTCCCATGCCATCCAGCCTAGTATGTGCCTTGCTGCCTTACGCTGTTTGTCTGCCCACACGCCTCCCCCATGCCCTCGAGCCTATGTGTTTTGCTGCACTGTCTTTTGTGCCTCACTGTTTTGTGGTGTTTGTTTGCCCACCCACCTCCCCCGTGCCCTCCAGCCTATGTCCTTTATTGTTTGTGCTCCAACTGTTCAACTATCAACGTTCGGTCCACTAGGGGTCTCTCTTTTGGGGTCGCCGGGAGGAGTAGACTTGGTTGTGTACTGGAGCTACATCAGAGTGTGTTTACACCAGAGCCCCCCCCCCTCCCCACACACACACCAATATAGAGCATATGACATTCCCTGCCATCACTGATTGCACAGAATCCTGGACAATGAGCAACACTTGTGAACTGATAATCCCTACAGTCCGAAGACCAAGGTATCGCACATGCAGCAATAGCGAACCCAAAATCGCCAAAAAGACAGGTCAAACACAGCTGTGAGGTAAAGCTCAACCCCACCTTTCTCTTCTCAATCCTTCAATCTCATACAATTCCCAGATGTGTATTACCAGAACAGACAAGTACCTACAAATAAAAGAGCAAGAATCTGGCTCAGCCTAAACTCTACAGTTGACCATCAGTGGGAATGCGAGTAGAGAGTTGGGGGTGATGAAGAGGAGCATTCCCAGACATAAGCTGTCGTGTTTCTGTCACGCAGCAGTCTACAAGCACATGATGAAATGTCGACTTCGGTGTGCATTTGGTTGGGATCTAAACAATGCCACACATGCCCGCACAAGCAGGGAATGTTTCAGGTTTTGTATCGTGCAGATGCTTTGGCCGACTCCTTACATAAATGCTGATAAAATGGACACAAGCAACCCCAAATGGACGATGAATTTGTTGATTGGTGCTGGCAAGGTTGCTGTCCACCGATAACCGCAACTCCAAATACAGCAGCAAGGACAAGATTACCTACCGGATCATCATCAAGAACACTTGCAGGAAAGATAACACACAATCAAATCAATGGGTACAGCAGGTCATGGGGTAATCTGCTTCACCTGTATTGGCTCTATCATGCCACGACTGAGCATCATACACCGAGCCTTGAAGTCCCCTTGTCCAGCAATGCCTTCCAGAGACGAATCACACCCCTTCAGTACAGGTTCCATATCCAGTTCCTCGTCTAAGTGCAACCCCTCCACCCGCTCCCCCTTTGTCTCTAGTGCGCAGTCATCGCCATCATGCAATCCATTCCCTCTTATGCTGTTGAGGTTCTCAATGACGCCCTTGCTTCCACCCATGCCACTGTGGACACCGCATTTCACAAATTCAGTCCACCCCGCTTCTCGGCCTTCTCTGTCACACCCTTCCATATCCATGTCTGCAACACCGTCAACGCAGCTGCGATCGCTTCTAGGACTGTCAAAGGAAACCTCCAGAGCATGACTGGCACGCCGTTTCACTCCTGCTTTGCCCCTGTGCCGACCAAGGTCACCCTTGTGCTTCTTCCTAACTTTGCTGATCCCTCGCACAGCAACAGGAGCCAAATCCTGTACCCCAGCTGACGCAAGATGGATCGCACAGTTATTGTGGCGTCGGGCATCCCCAACTGCTTTCAGCCGGCCTGCATGTGGTCCAGCTCCACCACGGAAACCGTCCCCGATTTCTCGGATCTCTCCTCCAGAACCGGCGGTACCTTTAGCTCTGACATTCCAGTCCCTGCATCCACCAGCATGTCTCCGCCTTAAACAACTAGCAGCATTTGAATCCACACCACTCCCCTCAACCCCATGATCGACATGCTCTGTATAACTTATCACACTCCCCCCCACAACTTCACAAGCATCAACCACACTATGAGCCTCCCAATCACTTTCACACACATCGACTGAGGACTTGTCTTTGACATCTCCCTCCCCCCCCCCAACCCTTCTCTCTAGAAGATGTTTCGCTCCCTCACTTTCAGTCATGTCTCTAAAAAAACAAGATCCATCACCATCAAGACCAAATCCCAAATCATCAACATCTCCATCCACACTCTTTTCGGAACTGCACACAGCCTCATCACACACCAACAAACCTCTCAGACTCGCACCTTGTCTTCCACTCACGCCTCCCTCGACGTCCATGCGCCCGTGGTTACCCGTCTTGTCTGGGAGAGTACTCATCATCGTCCAGTACGTCTTGAGGGCCACCGGCTGCCGAACCGGATCCTTCGCGCCCACAGTAACCCCGGAACCCAGGCTCCAGCGTCTCTCATGCCATCCCCGCTTTGTCTCCAGCGCTGCCAATCCTGTATCTACACTCACAGCACTTGCCTCATGCTCCAGAGTCTGTCTTCCATCTTGTGATTCGTCATCATCCACCTTCTCCCCAAAACTCCCATTTCGCGCCAGCCATTTACCATCACTCCCGATTAAGGGCTGCCTCAGGTCGCCAGTTCCCTCCATTGTCTTCCTGTCCATGTGCGTGTCTCCCTGGATGCCGAGCAATTGACTCTCTGCATCGGCAGCTTTGGCAGTGCCATCCCCCTCCTGTTCTCTGCCAGCCTGCTCACGTTGCACTGCAACTTCTCTTGCGCTGCCTTCAGCCATGCTGGCTTCTCTTACTCCGCTACCATCCTCACTGACGCTCTTTGTCATCCGATACCACGGGACGCTACCTTTGCTGGCATCCCTGCGGCCTATTTCATGCTCTTCTGCACCCAAGCCCACATCCTTTCTCTGCTCGCTGCAAGCTCTGATTTCTGCGGCAGAGGTCAGTCCTTCCTCCATACTCCTCCCTGCAAAATCTGTAACACCCTTAAGAGCCTGATCTGAGCTGGAATCATCACTGCTGCTGACGTCACCCACCCCTTCACTCTCACTTTCCCTGCTGTGTGTCGGACCCACACTCTCGCTGTCCCTCCCACTCCTCGACATTGCCTTCTGCAGAAGCATCTTGATCTGCGCAGCAATCAGGTCTTTTCCTTTCCCCTCCCCCTCCCCTCTCCCATCAGGCACATCGATCGTTCCCTGCAACAACCCCATTGGCCATCCCACCCACTCCCATCCTAACCTCCCCACCCACTCTTGTTCGTCTGCAAGGCTCTGCATCACCAGGTTGGTCCACTTCTCCTCCCAGTAGGAGTTCAGATCGGGAACATTCACGTCAGAGGAATTTGAAAGACGGTGCCTGCGGAGAACAGCGCCAGTCACCATTCCCACCTGACGAGACCATTCAGCAACGTTAGACTGTGAACCCCCTGCCCCAACCAAGCCCTTCCCCCCCCCTGCCTTTGCGCCTCCACCCACCCCAGCCGCTCCTGCAGAACCATTTCCCTTTGCTTTATGCGGCCAGCTTTTCCGGGTCCCACTGTCTGCCAGCACCCACGGCGTTGATGGCTGACCGTCTGATGCCACGACCTCCGCAATCTGTTGCAGTACCTCTGCACTGCCAATCAGAGCTGTAATATCGCCCACCTTGGGGAAGTCCAACAGCCGCCGCAAGCAGCCCCCAGCATCTGCAGCCCCAAGAAGTGTGTGTCTAACATACAACAGCATCGATACTGCCATGGAGAGGATCAAATCCCCTCGCTCTGATGCATGAAGGCATGTGCAGCCCCTCTCCCCATCCAGTAGCTCCTCATCATTGCTTGCTTCCCCTCCTGCACTGCTATCTTTCTTCGCTCGAGGAATGTTACTCGCAGAAAAAAATGCATCCCAGATGATAAGCAAGTCTTCTAGCCCAAATTCCCTCCCAAACAGCAGCCGCAACCACCGCAGCGCAAAAAGCTGAGGCTCCACCTTCAATGCAATCATATGGTTATACAGCACAGGATCCGCAGCCGCAAGAGTATGATAGATTCCGCCACACGCCTGTAGAATCGGCGGGACCACACCGCTGTCAGCTGGCGGAACGATGAAGTAGTCCATGACGGCAACAGCGCCGCGTCCGCCCTCGCCATTCATCAGCGACTCGAACATGAGGAATGCATCATGCTCAATGAATCTTCCAGATAAGACCGCGCCTAGCTCTCCTTCAGCTCCATAGGGGTCACTTGCCTCTGCAAGCATCTCTATGATCGACCAGTCCTCCTCTGCCGCATCTCTATCACTGCGTTCTTCCACAATTCTATCTCGCTTGTCTCCCCACGAGGCCCCTCCACAAGCCCAGCAAGGGTTCGTGTGTGCAGAGGCATATCCCCCTGCATCACCGAACCCTACAGTCTTATCAAATCTGTCGCCCAGGAGATCCTCAAACTGCCCTCGGAGCTTCCATAACCTCACCGCATCTGCATGCAGAACATACACAAGTGGTGCCAGCAGCTCGTGCATGCCTACAAAGCCCAGAAATTCACAGAGACACAATACAAATGAACAACATAATGAGGGGGGTGGACAGATCTCAAGGTTTTCCCTGCCTATCATGTTATGACTTCCCTCTCTCTCTCTCTCTCTCTCTCTCTGTGTGTGTGTGTGTGTGTGTGTGTGTGTGTTGTGTGTGTGTGTGTGTGTGTGTGTGTGTGTGTGTGTGTGNTGTGTGTGTGTGTGTGTGTGTGTGTTGTGTGTGTGTGTGTGTGTGTGTGTGTGTGTGTGTGTGTGTGTGTGTGTGTGTGTGTGTGTGTCTCTGTGTGTGTTAGATTCTCACCAACAATCTTTGCTTTGGCTTTCTTTGGGGCACCCTTTGTTCTTGCAGCTCCCCTTTCACTGCGCCTATGACGTACAAGGCTCGCCACGCGGATTGTGGTTGCGCAGGAGCTGCCCACATCCCCGTACGCCATAACAGCCCACTTGCACGCTATGAAAGGAGGCAGAGTAAAGGGGGGGGATATACTCCTGTTCATTTTTCCTCAGATCTTCTGCTTATGTTTTCTCCGTTCTCTTAAACCACCAGTACCTCGCCCAGCCCAAAAAAAAGTCACGGAAACCCACCAACTTTAGGGGTTCGGGAAAGGCTCAGTACTACCTTGGGGGAAGAAGCTGATGGGCCCAAGGAAAATGAAGAAATGGACAGGAAGTATTCTCCACAAGTTGATTGTGCGTGTGTTTCCACATCCTGGACGAACGACACAAAGAAAAAGGAGGCGGGGGGGACGAGGAATGGAGAGTGCTAAGGAAAAAAGAAAAAGAAAAAGACGTCTTTTCCGCCACTCGGCGGGCAAGAGAAACGACTGCAGGCTGTGCGTGCCCTAGCCCGCCTCCCACGAACTTGGGGCCTCACTCCACTACTCTCCACATGCACAAAAGACAAGAACTATGGTGGTGTATCTTTCCATGTTCTTGTCAAAGATTCAGTCTCACTTTGCACATTCGGATAGTGGAGCGAGGCCCTTGCACCAAATTTGTGGATGTGCTTGCTGTCAGATTCATTGGGGCTCGCTCCACTACTCTCCATTTGAGACTGTGAGACTGAATCCTCCACTAGAACATGGACAGATACATTGCTATTTTCTTTGTCGTTTATGTATGGGCCTCGCACCAAATTTGTGGGCGTGCTTGCTGTCAGATTCATTGGGGCTCCCTCCACTACTCTCCATATGAGACTGTGAGACCGAATCCTCCGCTAGAGTATTGGTATTTTCTTTGTCGTTTGCGTATGGGCCTCGCTCCACTACTCTCCACATGCACAAACGAGAATAAATGTAGCAACGTATCTTTCCATGTTCTACCGGAGGATTCAGTCTCACAGTCTCAGATTGCACATTTGGAAAGTAGTAGAGCGAGGCCCAACGGAGATCTGTCGTTTCTGTTCCTCCTGCCTGCCGTGAGAGGCGGGCTGGTGACAGCACTGAGGGGATGTTGGGCCTCGCTCCACTACTCACCAAACGTGGAAAATAAGAATGAATCTTCCGCTGGAACATGGGAAGATGCACCACCATATTTTTCTGTCTTTTATGGATGTGGTGAGTAGTGCAGTGAGGCCCGTTATGTCCTTTTCTCAGGTTTTTCTTTTTTCTGACAGGATCCTTCTACGCTCTGTTTCACACAGGGTGATACCGGTACCGCCCTCGTTTATGTATGCCGTGGTGGCGGTAGCCTGCAGGCACGTGAAAACTCGGCGCAGAGGCGAAAACCAGGGTCAGGAAATAAACACCGTGGCGTACTGGTTGTTTAATGATGCTCATTCGTATGCATTTACTAGCAAGTACGCAAGATGAGGAGGGAAGGAAAGAGGTAGTGTTCTATACAAAGCAAGGGCGAGGGGCGGGGGTGGGGAGGGGGGGGAGGGGAGGGGAGGGGTAGAGGAGGGAAGTGGAGGGGCAAAGAACAGAGCAGAGGAAAGGCAAACTACATGGTTCTCAATATTATTTACTTTTCTTCAATACTCGCTGCTGCAGCTGCCTTTGCCTATGGTAAGCGGCCACCTCTACAGACCGGACAGAACCGCTTGGAGTGCGGACTGTGAAAGCACCACATTCAATCCTCGCAGCTGCGGTTGCTGCATCGAATGGCACGGGGTAGACATATGTCGCAGGCTACGTCGCTCCTGCATGCTAGGAGAACAGAGGCAAGCCGGCCAGGCATCGCTGCTCTAGCCCGTCCACAAATTGGACATGACATGTCAGGTTGCCGTACATGAGTGCAATGCTGACTGTCATCGAACATATGAAAACAAAAACTTGCATGCGCTATGCCCTCATACATAATCCTCACGAGACAAAGCATGCGAATCACATACTAGCCAGATCTCAGGTGAGCCATCACAGAGCGGCATTGAGCAAATCCTGGGGTTTCGAGTCTTCGACAATCCTTATTCCCTCTCCATGGGTAGGTGATGACAAGGGCTGATCATCCAAGGGTAAGGGTGTTTAGCTGTTGCACGATTTGGTCTGTAACAGCTCGCCCTGGTGGTGATAACCTTTCAGTACAACACACTGTAGGTGGTTTATGTCTTGATCACTTGGTGTATTTTCCTCCTTAGGCTGCTGTGTCTGTTGTTCGTCTGGCAAGGATGAGGAAGATCCGTCAGCAGTTGCCGTAGGTGTATGATCAATACCGCATGTGGGACATGCTAGGAGGGGATGTGGTGGGTGATGGCATCAGGGATAGTCCACGCAGTAGAGACACGTACTTTCAACAACAGCTTCCAGAAAACATTGATGACACATGGCATGCTGCTGACATGCCAGCAGGAAAGCCACTCATGGTCAATAGGTGGTGTCGTTTTCGGTGAATTTTTCACTGAAACTGCCATATTTCCCTGAATTTTTGCTTTTTTTTTTTGTTTTGTTTTTTAAACTTTTTTTGTCTGATATGTATAAGCTTTAGGGTATACCTGTATTCAGTTTCGGCGGACTTCGACGAGTAACGAAAAAGTTGGCAAAAACACCGAATTCGGGAAACGTTTTGGCGAACTTCGAAAGCTACTTCGAATAGGGTTTCACAGTGCTGTTCATTTTTTTTTTTTTTCGTTTTTTTTTGCCTTTTTTTTTTTTTATGTTTGTATTATGAGCCTGCATAGTTTGTTTGCAAAAGTTTCGATGACATTGTGGTTGTAGTGATGCGGCAAAAAAAACCCGAATTTTGGGCCTTCCATTAACCGCGTGTCAGGAAAGCAGGCTGACGTTTGCAGCTATTTAAGCACGGCATGTCAAGGACACAACGGCATGTTGGGCAAGTGATAAGGGAGTGGAGGGAATGAGTGCAAGACAATGAGTTGGCAGAGATTGGTAGTGACCATCCCCTCATAGGGTCCTAAGCAGAGATTATGCCATGTGCATGCTGACCAAACTGTAGCCGTGTGCAGACACAATGGCATGGCATAACCACCATCCTCTGGACAGGCCCTTGCACTATCTGTGGTAGAATCTGTCCGGTCTATACAGGGAACACGGGAGGGTGGAGGTTCAGCCGGATTGTTCACCGGAATCTGTAGAGCTTGCAAGTGCACATCTACATACTGTTTCTGATTAACCGGGCAGACTGAGTGGGATTCTGCCACTTGACAAGAACAGTTAATATTTCCCATTGTTTGCAGCCTACCACCATTGTCCCATAGGGTCCATAAATCATCGGTCAAGGTAACAGCACTGAAATGACCTGGGTGAAGCAGAATGTACAGACAAATATTCAAACCGCTCCATGTCTCGCGTGCAAATCTGAGGGGCGGGCTGGAGTTGCAATCGTCTTCCCATAACTCGATCATTTGATTCTGCAGATTCTGCAGATTCTGAAATGCTGCATAGACAGGACCTCGATCTGAGGGGCGGGCTGGAGCTGCTCATCCTATCAGATCATTTGATTCTGCAGATTCTGCAGATTGCACTGCCACTTTTCGATTTGCTCATTCTATCGATCCAAGTAGCGTACGGCGAGGCGCGGGTTGGAGACTTAGCTGTTGGCC